CTGAACGAGGCCGGGAGTTGCTGAAGGGAGCTGAGGAGGGCGGCCCGGCCGCACGGCTCCGGGAGGAGGCGGAGAAGGCGGCCGGACGGGGCGGGGCGCCCACTGCTTCCCGGCCGCAGCCATGGCCGACGAGACCCCCAGGAAGGGCAACTTCTCGGCGCTCGTGGGGCACACCAATGGCCTCACCAAGCCCGCGTCCCTCGCCGCGGCCGCCGTCACCTCCAAGCCAGGGGGCGGCGGCGGCTCCAAGAAACTAGTGATCAAGAATTTCCGAGGTGGGTTCCCGGGCGGCCTAAGGAGTGGGAACCTTGTGGGCCCGGGGAGGTAGGGGGTGGCCAAGAGAGGAAGGACTTCTGGGGGTCGGGGAGGGCACCGGTGGGGCGGCCCGGAATGGAGTGGGGGGGCCGGCTCCAGGAGCATGGAGTCGTTGGGCCGAGTGGCGTTAAAGCTCCGGTGGCGGCGACGTGGGGAAGCGGGGGAGGGGGGTACCGTCCTGTGGACCCCTAGCTGTTCCGAAGTCTCCTCCCAGTTGGCGGTCATTGGGCCTGGCCCCGGGCCTCTCGGAGTGGGGTGAGTGTCCCCGGGTGTCCCCCCCTCCCCCCCGTGAAGGCGCGGGCCTTTCCAACTGCCGGCTTAACCTGCTGTGAGGGCTGTGGGTTGAGCTTACTGGTGGCAGCTTTCTAATTGGAGTAAATTAGGCCAAATAATTCAGGTATCTCAATTCGCACGGCCGAGCAAGAATAAGTAGCAGCTACTGAAGCTCGTCGTGATGTAATTTTTATTACTTCCTTCACTTTTCACGGGCTCTTATCATGTTACTATCTCAAAGCAAGCATCTTTGGTGCAGATATCGCAATTATAAGCTTATTCTTCACTTTCCAATGTTGAATAATTTAAGTCAACTTTAAGTGGTGGTGTATAGAGTTTAACTATTACTCGTCCATATGTTTATAAAGTCAACTTAAGTAAAAGGAAGATTTGTGTACGTGGGTGGGCAAAAGTAGGTTTACAACTGTAATACAAATAAACAATACAATAATGGATGAATAGTCATACAAGAATAAACTGTTTCATGTATTCACAACTGTAAGCCTACTTTTTCCCACCTCGTATTTTCTGTGTATTTATCCTAAGTATTAATACGAAATGTATTGAGCAAAACAAAGATATCACGGTTGCATAGTCTGTAATATAACAAACTTATATAAATACAATACTTTGTATGGGAAAAATATAATTTCTGTGCTCCTATGCGTCTATTAAAGTACTTTTTTGTAGACCATTTTTTGAAAGATGTATGACTGTTAGCATGGATTCCATTCACCACTGACTCTTATCTGGATTTACAGACAGACCTAAATTGCCTGATAACTACACTCAGGACACCTGGCAGAAGCTTCATGAGGCAGTGAAAGCCATACAGAGTAGTACCTCCATCAGATACAACCTGGAAGAGCTCTACCAGGTAAGGCTCCACTTATGACAAAAAGTAGAGCTTGTTAGAGTCCTCATGGAATTTTCTTTAGACAAGGAGAACTGTGAGACATGAGGCCAGCATCCTGTCTCTCACCCAGTTGTTTTCATAGTTGTCTAAACAAACACAGTTATCCAACTCCAATGAAATGTGATACAAACATGGATTGTATGGTCCTCAGTATTGTTTCTGAGACAATAATGAAGGAAATAATAAAAATGCAATATTTACCTCCAACCAGAAAAGGAGGAGTCCTATGACAGCATGTCCCAAATTTTGTTTTTTGGTGGTTGTGGGATTTTTATTTTCAGGCTTAAGCTCCTAGAAAGATATTTAAAGTTATTCCATTGTAGGAGATGTGTTTCTAAGAGTGACATGACTTAACATTTTCCAAATATACAGCAAATTATTGTTATAATTCTATTATGTTATACAGAAAACTATTGTTACACTTTCACTTGTTAATAGATATTCCCCCTGCTTCATTGTGTTTTGTGATTATTTGTTGAGATTAAAACATGCAAATAAATTTTGTTACACTTTAATGATGTTCTATTTCTAACATAAGAAACAATGGTCAAAAGTACATTGTACTATTTGGATATTCTATTTACAAGTAGGCTAGTTTTTCTGATACTGTATCTTGATTTTAAAGAATAATATTTGTTAACTGGTCTAATATTTATATTTTAGGTAGCAATATGATATCACAATTCCTATTAAGAGACATGAATTTAAAAAACTTTTCTTTACACAACTGATTACATTATAAAAATTCTGGAAACCACAAAAAAGTGCAAAGAAGAAAATTAAAACTACCAATGTTCCCACCACCCAAGGAAGACTACTCTTGACAGTTTGATGGACATGTCCCTTCTTTGTGTTAAGTTTGTGTGAGATTATTATATGTTTTAGTTAACTTTATTAAGGTATACTTTCATATACTATGTATTTCAATAGTACATTAACAAATGTATACAAATTGTATAACTACCACCATAATCACAGTATAGAGTATTTCTATCACTCCACAAAGTTTCCTGAGGCCCCTTTGCATTCAGTCCTCTCCCCTGACTCCCAGTCCTTGGCAATCACTGATTTGCTTTCTGTCAGTATATTTTGCCATTTCTAGAATCTCATCTAAATGGAACCATGAATTTTGCAATCTTTTATACCTGGCTTCTTGCACTTAGGATAGTGCTTGTGAAATTCATGGATATTGTGTGGCAGTAAATTGTTTCTTTGTTGCTGCATGGTAGGGGTACCACAGTTGATTACCCTTTCACCAGCTAATGGTCATTTGGGTTTCCAGTTTTTGGTTGTTATGAAAAAAGCTGTTGTGAACATTAACAAATAAGTTTTTGTGCGGACATAAATTCTCATTCCTCTTGGGTAGATATTTAGATGTATGTTCTCAGATTTATATGGAAAGTATATATTTAATTTTATAAGACATTTCCTGTTTTTCAAAATGGACACACCATTTTGCACATCTACCAGTAGTGTATGAGAGTTCAAGTTGTTCCACGTCCTTGCCAACATTTGGTATTGTCAGTCTTTTCAGTTTTAGCATTCTAGTGGGTATGTAGAAGAATTTCATAGTGGTTTAAATTTGTATTTCTCTAATGATACTAAGCATCTTTTTAGGTGCCCATTCCCATTCCACATACGTTCTTTAATGAAGTGTATGTTCAGATCTTTTGCTCATATTTTATGGGGCTATTTTGTATGAATTTGTTACATATTCTGTTTGAGTTTATTTTGTATTCTGGGTACAAGTCCTGTACCCAGATATTTGCCTTGCAAATAGTATTTTCTCCCAGTCTGCAGCTTGTCTTTTTTTCTTTTTTTTGTACAATTCTATAATACATCATCTGTACTTTGCATTGTCATGTTTACCACTCAAAATCAAATATCCTCCTGTTACTATATGTTTGACACCCTTTACTACCTCCCCCATAGCTTGTCCTTTGATTTTTTTCAATTATGTCTTTCAGAAAACAAGTTTTAAATTTTGAAGAAATCTTTGTATCAGTTTGGTCTTTTATGGATTGTGCTTTTAGTATTTACCTGAGAAATCTTTGCCTAATCTAAGATCAGAAAGCTTTTCTTTTGTATTTCCTTCTAGACATTTTAGGATTTTAGGTTTTACATTTAGGTCTATAATCTCTTTTGGGTGAGTTTTTGTATATGTTGTGAGGTATAAATCTAAGTTCAGTGTCTTCCCTGTAGATGTCCATTTGCTCTGGTGCCATTTGTTGAAGAGTCTATCCTTTCCCCCATTGAACTGTCTGCTCCTTTGTCAGACGTCATTGTCCAAATATGTGTGGGTGTAATGAGTCTCAGCGTTGGGGTTGGCCCTCCAACTTCATCCTTTTTCCAGTTGTTTTGGCTATTCCAGGTCTCTTGTATTTCCATATGAATTTTAGAATCTTTTCTTCAATTTCTACAAAAAAAAGTCTTCTAGAATTTTGATTGTGAAGATGTTAACTTATAGATAAGTATGGGGAGAATTGATTCTGATGTCTTGACAATATGGAGTCTGCTGATTGGTCGCAAC